CCAATTTTAGTCCCTGTTACTTTTTCATAATGGTAAACACAAGACGGCTATCTGAGAGCATCATAAATGCTATTATCACACAGCATAAGAGGTTCAAAGGGCACAAGGCCATCTCCAAAACCCCGGGCATCCCTGTTTCAACAGCCTGCAATGTTATTAAGAAGGTTGTTGCTCGTAAAAGCTTGTGGGAAGAGGAGCGTTGATAATATAAGAGGAGTCTTTGAAGTCCGGTGTAAGATGTGTAGACAACACAGCATAAAACATCCACAGAGCTTAAGGCTGACCTGGTGACATCTACAGTGTAGGTTTCAACCCTTACTATACTCCAAACACACTAACCCAAGATGCTAGGGCTTTATGAGGAAAGGCTAAGCAGGAGACCATAGCTGAAATGAAAGCATTACAAGGCAAGACTGATCGACCTGGAGAAGCCACAATCCTTCTGGGAAAATGTTCTATGGAGAGATGGAACCAAAGTAGAGCTCTAGCAATGCAGAGCAGCAGTTAGCTTGTAAGGAATACAGCACTCTACCTTATGGTGGAGCATCTGTGACTCTGGGGCTGCTTTACTGCCTCTAGTACTGGAGGTCTTGAACATATTAAAGGAATCATGAACTAAGAGGATTACTGAGGCATTTTACAGTGAAATGTGCTAACCACTGTCAGAAAGGTTTGGGTCAAAGATGTGTGTCCACCAGCAGGGGAACGCAAAGCACACATACAAAAGCATAAGAGAACGGCTGTGAAAGAGAAAAACAGACTTTTAAACTGGATGCCACTGAGTTCTGATCTCGATCCAACTGAAAATCTGCCATTGGGAAAATGAATCCTGCAAATATTCAAGAGCTGGAACAAATTGCAGTTGAAGAGTGGGAGAAACTATCAGCGGACAAGTGCAGGAAGCTTACAGACAGCTGCAAGATATGTTTGGCGGCTGTCATTGTGACCAAGGGTTCTGCAACCAAATATTAGGGACGAGTGCTTCTACTGCTGCCAGGTCGTATTTTATTACATTATAAACCATAAAAAGTTTGATGCTTTCTGAAGATATACAAATACTAAAGGGTCCCCGTAATGTTGAACGGTATATACGTATATTTGTAAATTACATTTTGAGTGGTCTCAGTATAATTAAATACATTTCTGAAGTCTTGGAACTTTATTATTTATTTTTTGATACTGATGTGTAGTTATTGCTTTCACCATTATCAAGTCGTTTAATTACAACAATAATAGGCAAAAATTCATGTTCATGTTCTTTTTTTTTTTATCAGAAACCAGCGCATTTAAAAATCAAACTCACATCCCATGCCTGGTAGCTGTCTGACATTTAAAAAGGAATAGCACATTAGCATTTTGAGAAGCCAGGCTGTTCAGAAAAGATAAATGTATTGCAATGCAATGCAAATATTCAAAAGTTTATTTACAGTCATTTGAAGACAAGATACAATTGGGCAAAAAGGGATTTTTTCCCCCTAGACCGTTTTCAAATTCACTGAGGATTTTAATTGAATTCCAAAAAAAACAGGGAGGATGAAAACAGTGACAGTACATACATAACCATCTGCCTCTTGGAACAAAGACTGCATTCTGCACATCACAGGAATTTAGCAATGAAGTGTCATTCTCTATTTCTTTCTCATGCACTTCTAGTCAACCTAATTCTGATTATTGTTTTGAATTGTCTTTTTGCACACTGTACATTTTCTTCTTACGTTAGATGACACAAAGTACTTAAAGCGAAGATTCTTCTTCATCATGAACATCTTAAATTTCACTGGGTCTGGCCCTGACAGCCAATTACCATAATTATTGCAATTTCAGAAAATAACCAATGGCATTCTTTTAGAAGTGCCATGGAGCATTCTGGCCACGTGCATTGACAAGTGATGTAATACAGTTTCCATCAGCCGAATCTGAACAAGGAAGGCTTCAATAAAGGCTTTTGTTTGTATGACCCGATTACCAACTATCGAATAGTCTGTATTAGAAAGACACAATAAAATATAAAGACAAAGGAAGACATTGCATAAGGGGACTGATAAGCGGTCATGGGAAAGGGCAGAAAATAAGTATTAAAGCTGCCAGTCATTTTATTGTTGTCATGTATATACATATTCAAACTATCCTGTGCCCTGTATCAGAAACAGCATCTCCAGCTTAATCAACTTCTATGGATCTTTCAAGAGCTTTCTCAAAGAAATCCACCTACACGATGATGCATAAGACACAGCTTCCATTGTCATGCAACAGAAAAATAATGCATTATTACCATACTGTACCACAGCACATAGTGAAAGTAGGTTATGTGGCGGTTAGAAAACCAGGCTAATCCAACTCTCAAAAAAGGAAGCTTTATGTATAGTTAAATACTGGACTGTTTTTAAATTTAACTGTGACAGTATAGATTGGCAGAAGCATAACAGTTTTTTGCGAATAATTTTGGATAAAGGGTGTTGGCTACTTAAGAATTGGAGCACGTATGCATTTTTGTCAAAGCGATCTGTTCTGCCATGAAGCTGCAACTCTGCATCCCTTATAATTAACAGTCAGCTCATGTACTGAGCATTGTTAATTGCCACATGTTGGAAGTTGCTAATGTGGGTGCCTAGAAAAATAATATTCCCTCTGGACTCAGAACCAAAGTTCAATTTTGTTGACTAACAAACTGGGTGTTTAACTGAAGAATCCACTGATAAGTCTTTCCAGAATACACACAGTATGTTACGGCATTTGAAGACATAGGTCTGGTCCCCTATGGGTACTAGCCTGTTACACCTATTTAAAATAATAAAAAAAGGTTTTGGCTCTTTGCAAGTCAATAAACTGCTCTGAATCACTGAACTGTGAAATAAATAAACAAAGAAAAAGCGATTATACCACAATGGGACAGCAAGTATTGAAACACAAATGTGCTTAACAAATGGTTTACATATAAAACACTTCTTTGTGAAATACATTTTCATAGTAGGGTAGAAAAATGTGCAATGTTAATATTGAAATTGCATGTTTAGTGCATTTGCAGTTGTCACATCACAAGGACCATGATAGTCATCTGGAATGAGATCAGGCTTGGATGGTGTCCAATTTACAATCATACTGGTTGGGCATTATACCGCGGTATACGGTATTTCCAAAAGCAATGCCATTTTACAATACACTTCCGGGATTTTGAAATCTCAGTGATACAATTCACCGAGCAGAGGGATGGGGGATGGGGTGTCCCTCACCGCACAGAGACCATCAACAGGTTTCCCTAAAACAATTTTACTTGTTGCAGGACACAAAGCTTAGTATATACAGTATAGGTATCCTCACTTAAATTTTCACTTTATGCCTCCGAGACCTACTGTCTCAGAGGCATACTACCTGTTTTCACTAACCAAAATAAATCCAAAGAGGACTTTTGCTTTTATGAAAGTGTTGGCTTTCCTGCGAGTTGTGTAGAGGCAGCGCACATCTTGCGCAGCAAGTGTGGCGCCACCAAGCTTCTTCCCCGGGAACTACACTCAACATCTCAGCATCAAGCTACTATAGCTTTGAACTTTATCTGTGAGCACATGTGCTTCATCTTGAAAACCTCTTCATGTTTCTTTTGGTTAACAAAACTACACAGTACACACATTATTTCTGCTTTACATAGGTTGCGTATTTTTCATGTCATTCCTGCTTTTACCATATGTTAGTATTATTCTAGGTTTTACGTGTTATTTGGCATGATTTGGAAGCCAATTTTTTGGGTCTGGGAACGCTCAAATTTTTTCCCATATTAATTAATGACAATTGCTTCTTCACTTTATGTCATTTTGACTTTCATAGGAATGCTCTACTTAGCTCAGATTGAGTGGAAAGCTGTACTACACAAAATCAGTGAAACGTTTTCTGCTGCTTCTGCATAGACTCTGCCTGTGCTCTCCCAGCCAATCGTCATCATTCTTATCCTTGTTGTCAGATTCACTTATAGACAGTGTGGCATGTTTGTAAGACTTTTAACAAATATGAGTGAGGAGAAGAAACGCAAATAAGACCTGGTCATTAAGGGACATTCGCCTTCTGCTGTATGGGAATATTTTGAATTGAGCAAAAGCAAGTGAATTGTTGGCACAACTGGCATATCTCTGAATAGACTCTGTTGGTAGATGGTAACAAGATTTGTTTGCCTATAGTTTATAAATATAAATTTATAAATATAATATTTATTGCAAAAAGAAATTACAGCAATATTTGAAATTTCTGCAATACCTTGCAGCCCTAGGTCATAGTCGTCAGTTGTTTTAAAAGAGATGTGTCTATACTTCTTGTTCAATGCAGTTTTACTGTATGATAATGTATTTTTTCATAGGAATCGTAAATGACTGGGAATCAAATGAAATGTACAAAGGCTATGAAGTGTAACATTCACAAAAGCCAACATTGCTCAGAATTAATACTATCACTGTAATCCAAAGCCATTAGCTTTTTATTCATCAGTGAATAACAATAATTCATGGAATTTTCATTTTATTCCGTGTCCCCACATATAAATTGCTATCAAACCACTTAGGTAAACCTGAACTCCATATGTAAGCTGGAGAGAAATTAGAAAACAACTGATATGTAACAAATAAAAGAAACAACTAAATGATCTAAGTGTGATTGTTGATGCTGGAGTGTTCTCACACAGCAATTCTTACACATATTTAACAGATTTATATTAATTTCCATTTTATTACTTAATTTGAGTGAGGAGTATGATTCAATTTCTTCTATATTAATTTTTACGTTTATGTGAAACATTGGAGAAATACTTCAGACTTTATGATTACGCTGTATAAATGTCTAATTTTTTTGCTCTTTTCACTTACTATTTTTGGCACTAATGTAACTGTGACCTTTGGTTCTGAATGGTAACAGTACATCTATAAGACATAATATTCTAGGTCACAGCCACATGTGCCTACAAAAAAAGCATAATTGCAGATAATCATTTGTGAATACAGTATGCACAAAACTTTTTTTACCTGCCAGACAGCCCATGATTGATTGCAGAAGTAGTTGTTTCCATAGTAACATCATCTTCGGTTGCCAGGGGTAAACAAGACTTTCATTCAGTGGCTTGAAAATGGAATGTCTTTCCTCATAAATACAAGATCCTCAGTCTGTTAAAAAAAGACAATGTTAAGAATAATATACAGCATTTTGTAAATTATACCTGTTATTTGATAAGGTTCTTTCAGGTACTATGCGAGACATCAAACAGAGAAAAGCCTCACGTGTATGTAAGTTACCAGCTAAATACCAACATTACTTGTTGCAATTTCATTGGCCATTAAGTGTTTTGACACCCCCAGATCACCACCCCCAGATCACCACCCGAGGATGTTTTCCCACTTTCGTACACTGCTGTTCCAGATATCTTCAACCAACATATTGACAATGATGGTACGCAGGTGACAAAACAAATCTGAGAATATAGATAGTTTGTCTGACACCTCCACTCACTTCTGTGGCTGCTTTGCCCACTGAAGACCAACAACCAGGCAGCCATTCAGTCAAAGTCCCGAGGAAGAACACATGAGAAGAGGCGCCATTGTTAGCAGGATGGCCAACAGCGTTATTATTTGGCTTGTCGTGAATTTAGCATATTTAAAACAACTTGCATGTCAACATCTGCAGGGCCGTCAAAAGGTTTTATTGAAAAGCCCAGGACAAAGCTGCATTGTCTCTGCCCATCGGGGGGGTATAGGCAAGTGCAGAGGTAAAGGCGCTTAAGCAGGGAGGGTGACTGCAGCAGCGGCTCCCCTTCTGTGGAAAGCACACTGAATTATACATGCCACATCAATCCAAGGAGCTGGAACAAAGTGCAGCATGAGGGTATTGACCTCAAAAGCTAATATGCCGTCCACCTGATTAAAAGGACCATTCTGCTGACCTGAATGCACCTGGTGGGCGGCTTTCAAAGCTCTCCACCATGCAGCATGTGCCGTTTCTCTGCTTTTATTTATTAATCATTTTTTTGTAAGAAAAACAGCAAAGCTCTTTACATGAGAACGTGGCATGTGACTAAATAAAAAGTCAATGCGTGTCACATCAATCAAAGGTTAATTATTGATTCTTGAATACTGAAGTGCCAAGATTGTGCTCTTTCACAATTCATTGTCTTCCATTCTGAATAAATTACTTAAGTGTCACATTAGTGAAGAATTGTTGCTCATTGTCATGATATCATATTATTTATTAATGGAATTGCACATATGAATGTTAAATACAAAACATCTGATGCCAGAAACCTGGGGTTTCCTTGACAGGGTAAACTGGACATGCGATAGATAGACTGCAGTGTACAAATGATGTATGACCTTCTAAGAAAATTATATTATCTCAGGACCAGAAATGCAATACAACGTGATATGATGAAGATTAATAAAACATTGTGGTAACACCTTACTTAAGGTCTTGTTTTTAGTATTTTATAAGCATATTCACAACAAATAATAATGCATTCATAACGCATTATAACATAAATATCAAAAGGCATAAAACATTATAGCCATGTGTATTATGCATCATGAATGCTTTATGAAACTCTCATGTATAATGCACTATAGATACCTTTATAATCCATTATAATGGTCAGTTTTGTACTTCATACTGCCTCATAGAGTATTCATAATGCATAATAATCATGGCTATGATGTGTTATGCCTTTTATTAATATTTATAGCCATGTATATAATGTTTTATGAATGAATTATAATGCTTTAGGAATGTGTTTATAAATTATTAAAAACATGACCTTAAGTGAAGTGTTACCACCATCACTAATAGGACTGTGCTAACTGAAGACTGTACAGGGTGCTGGTCTATGTCAGGAGGCCTGTTCCCTTAGGGAATGATTCTCCCATCATGTACTAACGTTGAGTTACGCGTCTTCTTGCCTCATCAGCATGGTCACCCTCACCATGCTTAACCCGATAAAGAAGGTGCGGAAAGTATATGCAAGAAATATAATTAATTCATCAAGCAAGGAAAGGGGGCTATGCCTTCAACGATTTTGGCAAAAAAGCAAAACGTGGAACGTGGACTACTTCATTTACATTGTGAACCTAATGGAAATCCACAGAAAGCCTTTTATTTTGATAAAAGCATGGTGTTAGCCTGCTGTACTTATATCTGGTCATTCTCACAAACCTGAATCCTTCGACAAAAACAAAATGTTACTGTGTTTGAAGTTTGTGCAGAGCCTTACTGGGTATATTAAAATTATGTCTAGGTGTGTTATAGCTTTTCCTCAAACAGGTAGTACCATGACAGTTTTAAAATCAAATAACACACAACTAGATAAAATGTTTTAAGTCTTACAGCTATATTGCATGTAACCCATAATTGACAATGAATTAGTATAATAAGATGCATGTTCATTTCTTAAATTGTTTTACTACGCAACTGATTAACCACCCAGAGGCAAAATAGACATTTTAGACAACAATATGACGTGTCTGTCATCAAACTAATTTTTAAAATGAGAGAAAATTGATTTGTTACACTGATGGGTTCATTAGAATGACCCATATTGCTAAGAATGAATCCATATCCTTCATTCCGCCCCCCCCCCCCCCTTTTCATTCATGACAATTCTGTAAGCCAGCAAATTTGGCTAATCAACAGATGCTTACAATGGTGTAAATGGTAGCATGTAACTTAGTAGGAAGTTAGTAAGAAGAACACACTACTGCGAGGACACACTACTCCCTTTGGACCTATTTTTTGCTCAGTTAGTAGAAAAAACATAGATTCTTGTTATTGGGATGAAGTACAGAGGATGGATATACCGAATAGAAACTCAATTTCAATGGCGATTTTAGTTTAGTATCCATATCAGCAATGTCTGCAAAACAGCATACTGTCACCCTCATAATATGGCCATAGTCTGGGGTATGTTATCATATGTTGCATATCTAAGAAATCCATTTCGAACCTACACCGGGTCCAGAACGCCGCTGTTAGCATGCTAACACGTATCAGGCACAGGGATCACATCACACTAATACTCTTAAATCCCTGCACTGGCTTCTGTGGCTTTTAGGAGTGATTTTAAAGTCCCTTTGCTAATTTTTAAATGTTTACATAGCCGTCTTATCTGTAGATATGATCTGACTGTAAATTATGTCCCAGGCAGATCTCTCAGATCATCCGAGAGAGATTAACTGATTATTCCTAAAACGCCGCGGAGGAGGGAGGATGCAGCTTTTAGTCACTATGGTCCCAAAGTCTGGAACTCTGTCCCAGAAAACCTGAGAGCTACTGAATCTCTTAGTACTTTCAGAACCAGGCCGAAAACACACCTTTTCACCATTGCATATAAGAATCTACTGTAATTAGATATTTTATTATTTTGTGTATGTATTATAATATACAATAATGTATTTGTTTATTTTGGAAAAATATTCATCTTTTAAAAACTGATTCTATTTTTAAATATTTTTTCTGTGCATGCTTATTTTATTTCCTTTCTTTTAAATGTCTGTAAAGCACTTTGTAAACCCTGGGATTAAATCAGTGCTATATAAATAAAAGTTGATTGATTGATTGATATTATTAGTAGCATGAAAGAAAAGTCTAGAATTCTTACTATTATTCCAAACAAACTGCTAGTCGCTGCCACTAAAACCCAGACATCTCTGCCATTAAGCGTAGAATGATTACCCATTAGGCGGATGTCCTGGTCAGAGATTCCATTGGGGACCCCCATCTAGTGAATGTAGTGTATGTAGACCTATGAAGAGAATATATGAGTAGGAAAATATGGGACAAGTGGCATCCTGTACTGTTTCAAAACAGCACCCAGAAACATGCGATGCATTCAGGTGGAGCAGAAACATGCGATGCATTCAGGGGCGCAAGTACACACACTGCAGCTTAAGAATGTGAAGACACATTACTGCCTTTGAACCTATTTTTTACAAATTTTAACTGAAAGCAATATTTTTTAATCAACCAGTCATTAAACCTATATGATTCGCATGCTAGGTGTGTTGAGAAGGCAGTCTAATGGTAATATACTTGTGTATACTTACACATTTCTATATGCTGTTGTGTTATATAATTCTTATATAATTACATGAGTTATTCACATGTGTTTTGGATTGTAACATTTGCTTCTTAATGTATAATAAATGTAAAAAGTTTCGTGTTACACATTGGGCTTTCTGAAAACTGCAATATTGCATTTGGCCGTGTAGCAGCATGTAACTTAATGCAACCCTCCAGAGTGCATAGTGGAAAACATAATTAAACGTGCTTAAAAATGCAATTAAAAGTCTGTGGCAAAATGCACACAAGGGTCATTTACATGCAACACCCCCATATTTCGGTGTTTCTGCGCTGAAAATGCATATCTGGCATAACCCCAAACTTGAGTCAATGGGAGAATATGCCTTTGCAGAAAAAGCACACAGCTACAGTACGCGCTTTTTTGACTTAGCTGCATGGGAAAATAGACCTCTACGAAAAAAAGAGAGAAAAAGAGAATCATACATTCCAGAAAGATATCAAAGAAAATGGAGACCAAATCAGCTGTCTTCATTACACATACGCCATGCTTATCTGCCAGAAAAAAAAAAAAAAAACACAACAGAGTCAAGTACATCCAGTCCTGTAGAATAATATGGTCGTCACTTTAAACAAGAGTGTCTTTACATTTACATTTACGTCTCACAATGTAAAACCTTTTTAATTATGGGTGTTAGACACATGCGTACTCGCCCTAGTCCACAGAAATGTCAGAGATTAATGGAATAAATTTGGGGCACAGAGCCATGCTGTCCAGATTCAGCAAACTCCGACAACCAAGTTAACCCCCTTTGAAAGAAATCCCTTTGGGTAAAATCGGTGGGGGGGGGGGATCCGATTCTCTGACGCTAACTCTCTGCTGCACTTTCCCGAGCGGCTCCTCAGAGGGCAGATAACCAGCTATTGCAGGTGGGGGCCTGGGCAGGGGTCTGCTGGTCGGTCCAGGCTGGTGCAAAGCTAGCTGGCCTTCTCCGAGCCGCATTCCCTGCATCCCCTCCCTCTGCTCCCTCCACAGCACTTTGGGCCTGCGGGACTGGGACCTCACACATACCCGTTGCAGGGATCAGTGCCGAATCTCGAGGCCAGC